TGCCGCTGAGAAGCGAGCGGCAAGGGGACCGAGGCTCAGCATTGGGAAGCAGTTGGTAGAAGTTCACGCAGGCCTTTAAAACGTGGGTCTCAACCTCGATCTCCTTGTCTCTTTTAGAACCACAGGAAACAATTTGACTGCTCTGTGTAGAAGGTGCTTTAAACACTCCTAGGGGAGCAGAGGATGACAAAGGACTGGTGGGTGGAGGGTGGGGGAGTCCATTTCCCTCTCGAAACCTTGCCCTGAGCCGACACCTCGTACAGCCTTTGCTGTTTGCCCTCCCACCCCGCTGACTCTTCTGTCAACCCAGTGACACCGATCCTCCTTTCCAGAAGGATTATTCAGACAAGTGCGAAAATGGAAGGAATGCAGAGCTAGAAGTAGCTGCAGCTGTAGGGGTGAGGTCGGCAGGGATAGAAAGCCACTAAAATTATCCCAGATAGAAGGGGGCTGGGGCCCCACAGCTGATGGGCCTCTTGCCTATTATGGTAATAGTCCACCCTTTGGGCCACTCCCAAGCCTCATTATATGGCACCCAACACATTTAGAAATGATCTGATGGCCTTATGTAATGCTGAAAAAAAATAACACAGTGACAGAGCCACCCAGCCCTTCCTAATCCCAGCCATTCTACCGTAGGATGCCCAGAATTTTGGTGGAGTTATTGGGTCACAACCAGATGCGTCCCGTTCTCATTTCCTCACCAAATCAAGATTACCTGGAGAAAAGCCTGCTTGGTGAAGGCCAGGGGTAGAAGCTGAGAAGAGGCTCCCCTCCAGAAACACCTCTAGGAACCAGGGTGTCCTGAGCTCTAGTCTGTGGCAATGGCAGAAGCTGGGCTCTGGAGGGGGAGGGAGGGGCTTGGTGCTTCTTGTCCTCCCTGTCTCACGCAGCCCTTCATTTTACTTTCAACTCTTCCCTCTCTGTCCCCTCGAGCCCCTGTGATCCCCGACCCAGCCCTGCAACCCAGAAAGCAGGATTTAGGAGGAATTAGTAACACCTTGTAACACCTCAGTCCACTTCAAACTTCAGCCACGAAGTTTGCCCTCTAGAAACCCGTCCTGACCTCCAAACTCGGAAAAGAAGGGGCTTCAACTACCGAGGATGGCCACGGTCTTCCCGGATTTGCTCATACGACATGGTCCACAGGAACCCACAAGCCACCTGGGCTCCCTTGATGGTCAAACTCTTCCAAAGCCACCCCGCCCCAGCTGTGAAAAAGAAAATCCCTAAGACCTGATCCGCTAGGGAGAGCTGATGGAGGGAGACTCCTGGGAACCAGTGCCGTGCCCGGGGGAAAGGGCTGCGGGGTTCCGGGGCTGGTCGCAGCCACCCTTCGCCGTTTTGGAAAAATTTATGTTTTCACTGAACCACGAACCATCACCTCTGTGCTCCTGGGGCCTGCCTGCTGGGGCTGGGATCAACTTCGGGGCGTGGAGGGACGAGGGTGGTGGAACGGAACCCCCATCTTCCTGCAGGTCTTCCTTCCTGACCCCTCCGGTGACTACTGCCCACTCCTTACTGCCTTTCTCCCCATCCCTGGGCCCACTTCCTGCTTCCGGCCACCAGGAGAGGTGAGGGTGAGTGGGGTCCCGACACTAGAAAGAGGCTTTGCGGTCACAACTGCGGCAGTCTAAGAGCTGTCCTCTGTAGGTGCAGGTGTGGTCCCTTGCCTTGGCTGCGTGACAAAGTAGCCAGAGATTAGGGTATGGGCATGGCCTGGGCGTGACCTTACACCAGTCTCCCTACCTGGCCCCTAGGAGAATGACCAGCCAGGCTCCGACCAGCGTGTCTTCAGTGGAGCCCAACCATGGGGGTCAGGCCGGGGTCACAACCCTCTAACTTCACCCCAGCACCTCAGGTTCCAGAGGCCCAGGCAGGACTGGGCGAAGCTGGGCCCCGGAATCACACTCGGCCTCCTCCGCCCCCTTCAGCAGACCCAGTGCCTGCACCTTGACATTCTGTTGTGTTTTTAAAGCCAACCCCCAAATCAGTTCTTCCATTCTGACCAATCCAACCGTGGCTCTCCAAGAGCGGTCCCTGGACCAGCAGCATCAGCCTCACCTAGGAACTTGCCAGAACAGCTGGTCCTCGGGCCCCATCCAGATCTGCTGAGTCACAAACACTGGGAAAGGGGCCCCGAAGTCTGTTTGAACAAGCCCTCTGGGGATTCTGGGCTTGCTGAAGTTTGAGAACAGGGTGTAGGATGCTTCCATCTATCCTCAGCTGGGCCCCTGTGCTGCGTGCAGCCCCTTCTCCACCCTGCGCAGATAACCCACCTGCTCCTGCTCACTCCCGCCCAACGACGCACTTCCTTCACCAGCAGGATAAAAGCCACTGAATGCACGGTCTGTCAACTTCTACATCCTCAGCTACCTGACCTTAAACTCTCCCTCATTTCCGCGCCCCCTTCCTTTGCTCCTACGATCTTCACAGCTGGCTTCTGCAGGTACGGACAGGCCCCTCACACTCCTGAGCCTTCCTCTCTGCCTGTTCCTCCCCCATCTCCTGTTCTGGTTCTTCTTCCTCCGGGCTACTTAGGGCCTGACAGCGCTTCCTTCCTTCCTCACCGACTTATCCAGCTATCGCTTGAGCTGTCACTTCTAAGTAGATGGTTCTGATGTCATGATCTCTATTCCTCAAGCTCCAGATCTGCATTCTCAGCGGCTTCTAGGATGCTCCCCCGGGATGCCTGAGAAGTGGCTCAAATCCCCCAGTCCAGGCTCCAGTGCACCTTCTTCCCCTACTGTTCTCAGACCACCAGCACCTCGCATGCCCTCTGACTTCTGTCTCCACAGCCAGTGTCTGAGATCTTGTTGGCTCTCCCATCCCTGGGCACTCATGGGAACTTTTTCTGGTTAGAAACTTCACAGTCCTTGGACTGCAAAGTTCCAGTGGATGCAAACAGAACGGATGCGACATCACTGGTCCGAAACCCCACATGGCCGTCCCGCGCATCAGTCCGTCAGGTGGCACGCTCAGGACTCTCTGGTTTAGAGGGCAGAGCGGGGCTTTATCGACTGCTCAATGTCTGCTGCAGACTGCGAGCTCCTAAGGGAAGACTTCGCCCTCCTGGGGCAGCAAAGCTAACCAATCAGAGGAAAGGGCCCCTCCCCTGCTTCGTGAGTGACCAGATTGCCACTTCTGGGTTGCTGGCTGCATGCTTTGTGACCTTCTGAGAAGGGTTTACATATGCACAGTCCTCTGAGACAACTGTTACTTTGTTCAGGGACGCCAATGAAGGGATGACTGCATCAGAGAGGGGGAGAGCTAGGGTTACGGTGAAGGTCAGGGTCAAGAGGCAAGGGTGGTGGTCAGCATCGGAGGCAGGATTCGGGTCAGAGGCTTCTGCAAAAATCTGAAGTCATCTGCTCTCTAAAGGGACAAAGCCATGCTGAAGCCCCCCTGTTCTCCAGCTTCTCTTGCTGCAGGAGCTCCCCAACCCGCCCCCTTCCTCCTTCCCCTTTCCAAGCCTGGACCCCAGGCATCTTAGCCAACACCTTTGGCTGTAGATTCTGCACCCCGGGTTCGGCAGTGGGAAGTAGAACGGGAACAAACAGGGAACCTTCCTCAGAACTGACACCACTTCATCCTGTACTGTTCTTCCAAAGACAGAACCAACACTTCCATCCCCCTCCCTCTTCCCAGAGCCAGGGGACCTGGGTTCCAGCCCCAGTCCCATCACGGACCAGCTACAACAACAGCACAAGATGACAGACCTGGTTTGTGTTCTTGGTTCTTCCTTTGACAGTGAAAACAAAAACTCTCCCTTCTTACTCTACAGGATTGATGTGACAATAACGACATGCTTGTGTTAAAGGCAGTTCACCATGAACAAATCGCTCTCACTATGTCTTCTAAGTTGATCCTACAACTCCTTGAGAGAGAGGCAGGAAAAAGGTTTTTATCCTCTTGGATGAATGAGCAAAGTACGGCTCCTGAAAGGCTTGCCCAGGCCGCAAGGCTACGGGGCGGCTGAGCTGGGGCTCACCCCAGACCTCCGGGCGCAGTACCACACCGTCCCTGGCTCGGCGAGAGCCTCCTGTGACCCGGCATGCTGCTGGTATTAATAAAAGTGGTATTCTTTCCTGCTGTGTAATTATGGCCCAAATACCTGCCAGTGGACTATCACTGGTTACTTTGGGCCTCCTCAGCTTCTCCAACCTGTCATTTCTCAAGTGAGTCATTTTGACCTAAGAAGCAGGCGTGGGGGGCGCCTGGGTGGCTCAGTCGTTAAGCGTCTGCCTTTGGCTCAGGTCATGATCCCAGAGTCCTGGGATCGAGTCCCACATCGGGCTCCCTGCTCGGCAGGAAGCCTGCTTCTCCCTCTCCCACTCTCCCCTGCTTGTGTTCCCTCTCTCGCTGTATCTCTCTCTGTCAAATAAATAAATAAAATCTTAAACAAAAATAAAAAAAGAAGAAGAAGTAGGTGTGGAATCACTGACCTCGGGGCTAAGACGGGGGAGGGTTGAGTCAGCAAGGGAGAGGAGGAGCCTGCGGGTATTTCTGATACCATGATCCAAAGAATGATTGTGATTTCTGCCGGGCACAGAGGGCTAGAGGGTTTTAGGAGAATTTCCTCAGTTCTAACAATCCCATCTTCTGGCTGAGGGAACTTGAGCCCGGGACGTTTACATGACAGGCCTCACGTCATGGGGCTCACAAGGAGCTGAGCGGGCCCCAGACCCAGGCTTCCTAAGTCTACATGCCCTGCTCCTCCCACGAGGCCAGGATTTCGGGGTATCCTTCATCTCTTGTAGTCTGGAGCCTGTCCCTTCATCTGAGTCTACAACTGGCAGGCAGCGGCCGCAGAGCAACCGGGGTCATGGGCACAGTGGATCCTTCTCCCCAAGGGATGCCCCCTGAACAAGGGGTGATGCTCTCAGAGATCTCCGCCTGCTTCAGATGCCATGCCCAGGACACACCTTCGTCCCCACGGGCCAGGACAACCCCACAGATGCTTGTGTTGGGCCCCGAGCCGGGGAAGAGAAAATACTCACGACTTGTCTCTCCTGCCGAGCCGTCTCGGGGGGCTCGCCTGTCTCCTTCGGGGGGACAGGGACTTCCCCCGGCTTCTCACTTGGGTTGGAGAATGGGCACTTGCAGGTTTCAGGATCTGAAGGAGACGTGAGGAGTTACCACACTGGGCCCGAAAGGAAACCACCCTGGTGCCTTCCTGCAGCATCCCTGCCCCCAGCCTGCCGTGATCGCGGGGCTTAGGGGGTACCGAGCTGGAAGACCTCCAATGGGGAGTCCTAACAGATGATCCTTGCTCAGTCTGCACTGGCGAGGAGCAAAGGACCGCCTCCCAGAGGCTGAAATGATTACACCGTGCCCCCTTTTCCACAGCAGAGAGGCAGAGCCCCATGCCTCAGCCTCTTGGGGCTGCCTCCGGGTGCTGGGGGCTGTCTTGTGAGGGCAGAGTCCCACCTACGTTGCCCCAGAAACCAGCTTGCTCTTCCTCTGACTCTCCCACCCCACACACAGGCACAGAGCAGTTTCAGTTTCTCAAGAATCTCCGTTCCAGCTTCCTCAGGGTGAAGAGGACAAGTCCCCAGGCACTAAACAGAACCAAGCCTGAGGTCAGCAAAATCTCTTTCCACTGTGGTCCTCCATGTACACACAGGCTCCCTCTCAGTGACCCCACAAGCCCTGGAGGGACAAGGACAAGCAGGCATGATGTCACCATGTAAGTGACATGGGAGAAGCAAGAGGGGCTTATGAGTATAGATTCTATGAAGCCAGCACAGTGAATGATTCTTTGCTATTGTGATACCAGGTCAGAATTTTATGCCAAAATGCATAGCAATGCATAAAACAAAGCAGAGACATGATGCGACTCTGCAAAAGATTATAAGAAAGGGTGATCCGCTCATCCTCCTGAGCCCAGGACCTTCCTGGTTTTAAGTACTAAAGATGTCATGTCCTGGGCATGTTTCAGGCAAACTGGAATGACCGGTCACCCTATTATAAAGACCAAAACAACAAAACAAAATGAGAGCTTTAATCTAAAATGACTAACATTTTAGATTTGATTTCATAGAAGGATGTACATGCCAAGACATCGCTTAACTGTAACATCTAAGTTGACTTCAGCTCCAGTTTTTGAAGTAGTCTATACAAAGAGAAACTTTAATTGTTCATGTCAGATAGCAAATGATTTCTATTTTTTGTTTTAATAGGATGGCTACTAAGCAAGATAAACTCAAGAAGCTTTTGACCATCCCAGAAACATGGGGCATGAGGCAAAAGGGAGACAGACGGAGGTTGGGGATAGAACTCTCCTGCATCACTCATTTGCCTTCCCAGCACCTACCTTCATTCTCATGTCCCTGGCATATTTCTCCAGTTCCTTCCTTATGTCAGCCCTCAACATCTTTGAGACATTGAGGACCAGCTGCTTCCACTCAATGGGCTGAAAGCTATGAGGCTCGTGGGGGACATACAGCCCAATCTTGACCTTCTTCACTGTGTGCAGGTACTTCTTGTAGGAGTCTTCAAAGTCAAAGATGAGGTCACTCAGAGTCCGAAAGGTCAACGGCTTGTCCATCAGCTCAGCCCTTCGGCTCATGCCCAGCGAGCCATAGTGGCCATTGCAATAAATCCCCAGCACAACATGGTGAAAGTAGTTTCCTGAGAAGTAGGTTTTAAAGCTGATGGGGAATCGCTCGATGGAAGGCTGTCCATTGGTTAAGTATCTTAGACCATCTGAGTCAAGGAAGAGAAGGGAGGCCTTGAAAATTCAGAGCTTGGACTCTTCCCAGGGAGGGAAGTGCCCCAGACAGGCAAAGTAAGTGTCCATCCCTCTGCCTCTGAGGCCCATATCTAACCTATCCAGACTAATCCTTTTAGAAAGGATTCACTTGATATCTTTGAATACTTATTATATGGTGCATACTGAAGCCAAATTAAAATAGGACAATAAGAAAAACTTGCCTTCTACTTTAGTAATTAAATAAATGCAAAACAAAATCATGGCTTTCCCCCCTCCCTTGGTTTTCTACAGGGATGATGAGTATTAAAGGCTTTTTTTATGTAATCGGAATGACGTTCTCAGACATTAATTCTGGCTGGAGTGTGTGGGACAGAGCCAGAATTGAAGGCCTCTGCAATGTTCCAGGAGAAAAATGAAAACCAGAATCAAGCCAAAGCAATGAGATGTAAAAGAAACAGACTGGGGCGCCCGGGTGGCTCAGTTGGTTAAGCCTTCAGGTCTGCTTCTCCCTCTTCCCCTCCCCCCTGCTTGTGATCTCTCTCTCTC